AGAGACAACTATTCATAACTAAAATAAGAATTTAATAGGTTTTAACCAGACTGTATCACAGAAATGTTAGGGTTGGGTGGAACCTCTGGAGATCACCCAGTCCAACCCCCTGCCAAGGCAGGGTCCCCTGGAGCAGATGACACAGGAATGCATCCAGGTATGAGAAGGATCCTAATGCTCCCACAGACTGACAACAGATTCTAATATTATCTTTTAATCCTGCTGCAAGCTGAGCTTTATGACTGGCATTTCGTTTTTTTCATATTGCTCCAGTTAATTTCTAGCCTGATCTCTCAAAAAAACCCCCAAACAAACCAAACAAACAAAAGAAAACAAACAAAACCCCAAACAACAACAAACCCCTCCAGCCAAGACTTCAGGGGTTTTGTCTTCTGTGCTTTAAAACAATTACCTATATCCATAAAAAGACAGATAACCCATTATGTGGGGGTTTGGATACATTTGGTGTTTTGCTCTGTTAGCAACTGCCCCATATAGGGCAAGTGAGGGTTAAGGCAGATAAGCATTGGGAATAAATTCCTCAGTATTTCTGCAGCCGTGTCCCACAATTCCAAAGGCTCTGTTCAAAGATCCTTGGCTGCCTGGTTTTATGTGTGTGAAATACTGCTGCATCATCCAAACCAGCCTTGTTTGGAATGTAAGTGTTTAAATTAGATGAGTTTCTGTTAACTATTTTGATACAAAGAGTAAGTGAATGGCACTAATTCTCACAAGTGTGTGCCTGCAACTGTTTCTCCTTTTTTTATTTTTTCTTTTGGCTATTTCCCATGGAGACTGTTTCGAAAGCAGCAGAAATTCGGGTTTACTCGGTGGCCACTGGATGTCACTGTTCCTCCACAAACGGGTTATTTTCCAACATCACCGCTAGACTTCCTATTTTACTGCTGTTTGATTGTCAGCAGAGCGTTCCTACAGGCTGTGATCCTACAGAAAGGGATACATCAAGTGGAAAGATACTTCCATTTTAGGAATAAGAGAGCTGGAATGTTCCTTCAAAGGCTTGAGGAGTGTATAGATTGGAGCCTTTAGATGTTATGACGTGGGACTGGCAGTTACAGAAATACTGTCACGTAGATGAATTGAGTCCCCTGGGCTATCAGGCAAGTCCTGACAAGGGATTATATTTAGGAATATTTATATTTTAGATTGGGCACTGGCTGGTGTCCCTAGAGGTACAGGATTCCATCTGGGTAACTAACAAATTAAGCTGCTTAAAATTCATCACTTCAGTGTGGGTTTTACATAACAGTTGCATGGAAAAAATGGTCAGGCCTTGCAAAAACACTTGACATTTTCCCAAATGTGAAAGTACACCTTTTAAAGAAACTATTGTTTCTTTTGTCTTGGCTTTTGCTGTCCTACCTGTTGTTTTTAAGAGAATTTTAATGCTCCACTCTTGCATGTTGTTATTACAGGCTTCCCTCCCCCATGAGGATGATTTTGAGCTGCTACACCTGAGAGTGGCCACAGATCAATCCTGTAACTAAATTACACACACATGTAAGTGACTTTGAACTTCTCTTTACAGCATGCAGAAAACATGATATTAATCATAAGACTGTTATGTTTTCCAGTATTTGGTCAAAATGGGAACAGGTGAACAGAGAATTTGTATTTTAGAAAATGTGCTTGTTTCTGTGGAACACCATGTTCCTCGTGCTTCCTTTTGCCTTCTGTTTAAGCAGGTTCCAATCTTTACTCTTTCCTGCCATGAATTACTGTGCTTCCTCATATATAATCTATAACTATAATTATGAATATGATTGATAGTATTATTAAATGAAAAATAATGTATTTACTTAAAATTTTGCTTAGGAGTTTGACTTCTCTCTTCCCAGATTGAAGGTTTCCACAGAACATGTCTCTCTTGTCAGGAGGAACTCAGCACCAACAGACACATTTTCCTCAGTAAAATAAGTACTGACCAACTGTGAAATTCCTTCTTGCTCCCACACATAAAAGCCTCAAAAAGCAAGAGGATCACATGCTGCTTTAGTAAAATTCACGCTGGCAGACAGGTGAAATTAAATTGCTGCTTTTATTCTCCCTACATGCTGCTCTGTATGGCTTCCTCCTGAGTCCTCACAGCTCTCAGGATTTTGGATTTTGGTGGCCAGATGCTTGTTGAGCATCATCAGCAGTGACACAACCCCATCACCGACCTCGGATGCTGTCACTGCCAAGGACACATTTGGGCAGATTTTGTGATTTCTTTCTGCTTTGCTTCTCCCTTCTCTCACATGGAAGTGCAAGTGTTTCCTCTGAGCACACGTGTGTGCCCATCCCAGTGTTTGTGTGTGTGTGTGCCCATCCCAGTGTTCCTGAGCTCCCCAGCAGCTCCATGGATCTGTCTGGCTGTGGTGACCTCTCAGCTGGCAGCGATTCCTTTCCCAGCAAATTGCACATTCTCCTCCCTCCGTGTGAGTTATTAAAACCAGATGTGCAGAGAGAACTCTGCTGCGATGCACTTTTGTGGGCTGATTTCATTCCTTGGCTGCAACGGTGGGATGCCTCCAATGAAAGCTGGGGGACAAGCCCAGGAGGATTTAAACCCATTAGTCTGAGCTAAACTCCCGGGCCTGAATCTCTGTTGATATCACAGTAAATTAGATGTAACACAACTAAAGCAAACTGAGCTAAATCAGTGCAAGTCTGGAATGAGAAAGGGGTAAGAGAGACGAGATCTTGTCTTGGATTTATCTGTTTGTTCTTTGTAGGCTGTTCTGTGGGTCTTAATGAATCATTAAGAAATCATCATGGAAAGAAGAAGCAGCTTTGTGTTGTTCCTGGATCAGCTTCATTTTGAAACACAGGAATCTGAGAAATAAGCTTGTAATCTCATGCAAGACCATGAGGAGGAAAAGGCACCCTGGCATTTAATGGGTGTATTTATAGGAAGGTCATCTCACAGCCTGCATCTGACTCAAAGTCGAAGCCATCTGGGAATGTTTCTATGGGTGACGACCACATTCCAGGAAGCGTCACAGCATCCTGCAGTCCTGTGGGATGGGGGTTGCTTTAGGCTCTCATTTGGCTCATGGCGGGTCTGGAAAAAGAAAGCCACAGCCAGAGTTCAGTGTGTCATGATGTGACACCCCTTCTCGATGTTTTAGGACCAGTGGTTAACTAAACTCTTGGGATTTACCCTGGAACGTGCCCCTGCTGTCAAGGTGTGGATTAGAAGAGCTTTTTACCATTTTGTTGGTTAATGAGATTCTCTAGTTGGGCTCTAGACCACATAAATGGCTTTGTAAAGCATCAAGAGTACAGGTGAGAATCCTTGCAGCAGCATCCTCTGGGGAAGGCTGTTGAGGCAGTGGGTGCTGGATGTCATCCTGTGCTGGTGCTGTGGGAAATGATCTTGCTGCCTCCTCGGGGCTGTTCAGAGAGGGAGAGAAAGAACTAAAACACGTGGTGTGGGTTGATGTCCTCTGTCTCTCAGGGGTCCTGTTTTGTGAGTGGTAAGTGAAGCAGTATTGGGGTGTGTGCGTGGTCCCAAGAACAGTCAGTTGTAGGGGTGGCCAGTCCGTGCTCCCAGGAGAAGCCTCTCCAAGATTTGCACACCTTTGGAGAACCAGCCCATTAAGAAATGGGCACAAGAGGCAAATTAAGTGACCAGTGGCCTGAGTGTTTCTGAACTGGGGCTGCTTTGTGCAGTTCCCTGTGCTCGTGAGGAGCAGCTGATTTTGTAGGGTCACATTTACACTGTTTATACTGCCTCGTAACTGGGGGGTGTGAAGTTGTGTGAGGAGATCTGGCTTCCCACGGGAACAGTTGAGCTCAGCTGTTTCCAGGCACTTTTGCTTGTCCTGGGGCTGACTGAGGGAACCTGTGGCAAACCTCACAACTGCACCACAGGCTCTGGCACTGCCAGGGGCAAATCCACCTCGTCCCCTGAGCTGTGAGAGGGCTGTGGTTGGGAGCCACGAGGCATTGGCTCTATATGTGCAGGCAGGGGTTAAGCATTCTGAATTTGCAATAGCCAGGCAGCTTTCCCATATAAGAGCACTGCACTCATTGGCTCTCTCTTTTACTGAGAAATCTATCTAGTCATTTCCTGTGCAAGCCCTCCTTCACTTTGCAAAAAGCCATACAGTTGAGTAAATAACAGGAATCTGTGACTATTCCTTGGATTCTCTCATGGACCAGCACCAGCCAGGAGTTCAACGCTGTGCCATTAGCAGACTGCTAATATGAACATGGTCTTCTCTGCAGAAGAGGAGGACTCTCACCCATGGATGTAAATAATTTTGAGTCTGCTTTCATGCTTATTAACACTTGTTGGTATTGGACTTGGTTTCTACTGAGAGATCATTTACCCTCTGAAGGCTCTGTTGGGACTCCTTGTCAGATCTGTTCTTGGGTGGAGCTTGCAACAACTTGGGGTAAGTGCTGTGCTCTTCTTGTTCTGACAGCGGGGCTTGGTGCTGCACTTCTCAAAACGGCTTGGTGGGGTCTCAGAAAGAAATAGCTCAGTTCTTGAGTGGAGAAGTGGAAGCTGAGCTGGCAAGCAGAGAGTGCTCCCTGTGTTTCCCAGGGACGCACCAAGTGGGTGTAGGGTCCTTTTTACGGGACCATTTTGCTCTTGCTTTTAAACCAGCTGGTCTGTCTGTGCAAGACTGACAATAAATAACTCTCCCGAGCGCTGCGGAGAGATGGAAACTGCAGCTGAGAAATGATTTGGGGGAAAGGAAGACAGAAAAGCACAAGCAAACTATTATGGAAGTACAAATAGCCCTCTGAAGGATCAGCAAACGTACCAGTAAGTGTTCTGGGGAAGGAAGTGAGTCTGAAACAGCATTATGGGGTGTTTGCCTGTGAGTGGAGAGGAATGTTTGTCATTAGAGCGCAGACTAAACTGAATGTCTGAATTATCATAAACGTTTGTCTTGAAATCAGCCCTTGGATTTCTTGCTGTGAGCCGCATAAAGATGCTTTGTGGCTGTTTTCTGCCTAAGAACTGTGTTTCTGCACACCCTGATCTAAGCCAAATTGCTTATGCTGTGTCCATTTACCTCTTTGCTGGTACAGGCTATGGAGTCTGGCTGTAGTCCCAGCAAGGGAGATTTCTCCTCAGAGAAAACCTGTTAACCATTTGGAGGGAGTGCATGGGAAGGAGACAGAGTTATTAACAAAAGCTCCGCCGCAGGTTGGTCATTGTGGATGTTTAATTGCAAACTGTGTGAATCTGCAGTCACTTTGACTTCAGACAGTGTGTGTTGGGTGTGGTCTGAGATATATCCAGATATATGTGAAGAGATGTCTTAAAAGAGTCAGAAAGGAGTTCAGGATGTATTAGATGAGAGAAGGGGGCTGGCTGGGTGCTCTGCTGAGACTGGTGCTCTCTGTGCAGCAGGTTTGGGTCAAGCTGTGCTCTGTGCAGGCTCCCAGGGCTGGGAGTGTCCCCAGGGCAGCTGGGCAGTGTGTTTGCCTGTGCCGTGGAGCTGGGAGTTCAGAGCCTGTGCTCTCGTGGAGAGCCAACAGCTCCAAATATTGGGGGAGACCCCACTCATTTTGCCCCAGGATGAAATGTCAGGATGCATGAGGGAAATACAATTTGTGCACGTGTTTTCCCTGTATAAATAGTGTAATGCTCCTCAATGGGGAACATGAACAAACTTATCACTGTTCCAAAGAAGGCCTACAGTGAATCTTATCATTTTGGCCACTTGGTGACCAGCCTGTGTTGGTTGCACTGAGACAAGAACAGTGATCATAGTCTCCTAAAGAGCCACTTTCCTTGCCTTTTATGTAAGGGACCTGTGCTGCTGCCAGCAGGTGAGGTCATCTCACCAAGGGGGTTCAGATGTGCTGCAGACAAGTTTGCAGCCTGTATTTCGTGAGCTGCTTTTGAACTTCTGCAGTGGAACTCTGTTCAAGACCCCGATCCTTTATTCAAATACTGCTACTGTGCAGAGTTTTACTGAATCTCCCTCTCAAGGGACCCACAGTCAACTGTAGAGCACTGGACCTGGGCACTTGCTTTCCTCTGTGTCACACTGAACACATTCTGGGTTTGTGATCAAACTGTTAATGATTCTCCCCCTCCCTCACAGGTTTAGTCCCCCAGCAGGGAACATCTTTGTTGACCTGCAAGACCATCTCTCCTAGAAATGGATAACTTCACCAACGGGCAGCCGGGCCCGGGTCAGAGGAACAGGTTCATAGGATTGCTAGAAACCGATGACAGTGTCCAGGAAGAGAAACCTGCACCCAGTAAAAAGGAAGAAAGATCCGGACCTGGAAAGAAAGGAGAGCCACGACCCTTGGAGACACCTTACCAGAAGGAGAGCAGTGATTTTGCTCCTAAAATCAAGGTTAATCTGAATTATCGGCCAGGACTCGTCAGCAAGTGAGTAACTGTTGGGTGTTTGAAGGGGGTGATCCGGGTGATCTGTACTGATCCCTGCCCTGTATAGGGGCCTATAGACTTTACCAAATCTAAACTAAAAGTGGCAACGTAGGAATATTGCAGGCATCTGGTAGGAGGGCATTAAAAGCAGAAAGGGGGTCTATTAGGCCTCTGCTGCTGCCCCTGGAAGGTGCCCACGTGTTGAGGTGTATTTTGGGTAGATCTGAGCTAACACAAATAAGCCACGTTGGGTGTCAGAGCAGCTTCTCGTGGAGCTCTGTCCAGCTGAGCTGTTCTTGCCAGGGAGGGATGTAAACCAGCTCACAGAGTGCTTCCACCATGTGATGGGCCTGACTCTGGTCCTGCAGCTATCTTGGGCTTCTCTTTGTGCTCTGGATGCGTGCCAGGGTTGCACATCAGACTGGATCTGGGAAGAGCTCCAACTGATGGAAAGAGCAGCCACTTAAGAGAATTCTGGGAAATAACAGTCTCTATTTTTCCCTTGACTCAAAAATAAAATACTTGGTGGTTTTTTTTTTTTCTGACAAACTTTCCTCCCTCCCTCCTTTCCTACACTGTCCCACTAGGACTCAGGGCACGCTCCTGTCTCTGCTCTCCAGAACTTCCTAACACTTGGCCCTTTTCCTACAGCCCAAAGGACCCAAATCGCTTTGACAGGGACCGTGTGTTCAGCGCAGTCACCAGGGGCACCCCCGAGGCACTGGATGGTTTGTTCGAGTACTTAAGGAGAACCTCCAAATTTCTCACGGATTCTGAATACACAGGTAGATTCCTGCTCAGTATTCCATGAACAGGCTTAGCAGGGGAATCTGCTCATGGTTATTTGCTTTGCCCAGCCCTCTGTCCTTTCTTTTATTTTCTAATGTTCACCTGAGGATGGAGAAGGCCTTTAATTAAATATATACTAAGGTTTTTGCCTCTAGTGCAGACTAAAAATACTGATAAAAACCTTTAATAATGATTATCTTTGATCCTACAGAGCAATTTAAGTTCTGAATCAAGTAATACAGCTGTGTGCAAAGTACACACACAACCCATTCAATACTCTCTTTCTACCAGATGCAAAGACTGGGAAGACCTGCTTAATGAAAGCCCTGTTGAACTTAAAAAATGGAAAGAATGACACGATAGCAGTCTTGCTTCAAATAGACCAAAAGACACGGAATCCCAGGCCACTTGTCAATGTGTCGTGCTCTGACTGCTACTACAGAGGTAAGGTTTGTGTTGTGGTGCTGTGGCAGAGCAGCTTCCCCATTAGACAGGTGAGATGTGCAGGCACAAGGAAAAGGAGGGGAACTGGAGCTTATTCAGCACTGCAGATGCAGAGTTATGGTGCAGTTACAGCAACAGCCTACTCACCTTTTGTTTTCTGATTCTGCTGCTGCATCTTCTTCGGCCTTGAATTATACCCTGCTGCCAACTTCGTTCTTGGTCTGTAAAACAGAAATGGTACATGTTTAATAACCCAAGAAATGAGAGGATTTGCTTGGGAAAGCATAAAAAGCAATTCTAAAAATGAGAAAGAAATAATATATCATTTTTAAATGAGTTCTGCTGTTTGGGTTGTGCTTTCAATAGCAAATGTGCAGCACGGTCATGTACACATATGGTTGTCTTAATCCTCTCATGGCTGCTTGGGATCTCAGTGCCAGGCAGGGGTGATTGCCTGGTCTTGTGTTGAATTTTGGATAGTTTTGAGGCTTGTCTTCTACCTCAGAGCCTGCAATATTCCAAGGACTATTGTTGGAAGTCCTGAGCTGCCCCCCAGCCCTGCCCAGCTCTGGGGCTGCAGTTACTGTGCAGAACATGCAGCTTTTGCTCAAGTCCTGTCCTGTCCCCTCTGAGAGGGGCACGGGGTGACAGGTTTTGCTGTTTCCTCAGGCCAGACAGCACTGCACATTGCCATAGAGAAAAGGAGCCTCCCTTTAGTGAAGCTGCTGGTAGAGAATGGAGCTGATGTCCATGCCAGAGCCTACGGGGAATTCTTCAGGAAGAAGAAAGAAGGAGTTTACTTTTATTTTGGTGAGTCAGTGTGCAACATGTTCCTTCCCTTTCTTTATTGCCCTACTGTATGTGACATCACTAATTAATTCTAGTTGGGTTTGCCCATCTGTGCATGAGTTGCCATCTCCAGTGTCCTTTAATCAAGGCCTTGACTTACTTGAATGGCAGGATCCTTTCACATCTGGGGTGTCCAATTAGTATTTGCCATCATCTTTGGTTTTATGTATTTAATCCCACCTGAGGGGTTTCAGATAGAGACCAATACTTGGTTAGGTCAGCCAAATTAGAGGTCTGGGAAAGTGTTTCAGCTGCCCCCAGAAAAAAAGAGTAATTGTTTACTGCAAAACACTTTCTGAATCTAGAGACACTGAGAAAAAACTTGTTCTGTGTTCCAGTGATAAAACTCTAGGCTCAATATATTTTCCTAGAATTGCTTTTTTTCAAAATTTAATTCTTTTTTGCCCCTTTTTGCTTTGTCTCCAAATACTGTGTCCTGATCTCTTCAGGTGAACTTCCCCTCTCCTTGGCTGCTTGTACCAACCAGCTTGATGTGGTGGACTATCTCCTAAACAATCCCCACCAGAAAGCCAGGCTCCAGGAGCAGGACACACAGGGCAACACAGTCCTCCATGCCCTGGTGATGATTGCAGATGACACTGAGGAGAACACCAAGTTTGTGAGCACGACGTATGTTGAGATCCTGAAGGCAGGTGTGAAGCTTGACCCAACGTGTAAACTGGAGGAGATAGTGAATTATGATGGGTTAAATCCTCTGCAGCTCGCTGCCAAGACAGGCAAAGTGGAGGTAAAGACAACCAGAGGGAATCCCTGGGGTTGATGAGGAACAAGGGAGAGTGTAACGTGCACCCTCAGTGCAGCAGTGGGGTTTGAGGGAGGAGCATCTTGCACCCAACCCGTGGTAACGCTGCTGACAGGGGTCAAGGAGGTCACCTCCAGGTCACTCAGTGTCCTACAGAGCCTCAGTTGGCTGCTGCTCTCTGTCCCACTCAGGACAGCTGGTCTGGACTGAATCTGGTTCTACTCCTGGGAGAGCAGATACAAGATGTAGTTCGTTGCCTGCTTTTAGCCAAATCCTGGTGTCTGGTGTGTCCAGGCTTGTAGGGCACAAATCCAGGTGTGCTGGGGGAAGGTGGTTTGGGTACAGCTCTGTCCTTCTGCACCTTCATCACATGCATGTTTTCCTGTGCCCCTGGTTTCTCTTCAGATCTTCAGGCACATCATCCAGAGGGAGATCAAGGACCCCGTGTACCGGCACCTGTCCCGCAAGTTCACGGAGTGGACCTACGGCCCCATCCACGTGTCCCTCTATGACCTGTCCTCCTTGGACAGCTTCGAGGAGAACTCTGTGCTGGAGATCCTGGCCTACAGCAGCGACACCCCGGTGAGGGCTTCACTGGAGGTCACACAGCAGCACCTTTGTGCTGTCCTCTGACAGTGTTGCTGTGTAATTGTGCAAATCACTTCGAGTTAATGTGGTGTTCCTGATGATAATTTTTCTGAGAAAGAAATGCATGATGGGAAGGTTTGCAGATTTCATTATTTAGAGTCTGCTTGGCCTGCCTCTGATTGCCTATAATTTGAGAGAAATTTTTGGTCCTTTGGTTATCCTAAGTCTGGGCATTACCAAATACCTTGATGAAGCCAAGCCAAGTATCTTCTTATGGGATGGTTGATTTCTTTCATACTGCAAGGCCTGACTGAATAAACCCTTAGTGATTCCCCAACTGGAGCCACTGAGCTCCAACACTGAAAAAGACAATCCTCTGCTGAGTTTTCACTGCTGTTGACACACAGGTCCTTTTTTGCTGTTTGTTTCCCCATAGAACCGGTACAAGATGGTGGTTTTGGAGCCACTGAACAAACTGCTTCAGCAAAAATGGGAAACTTTTGCTTCCAAGAGATTCTACTTCAGTTTTGTCTCGTACTTGTCATTCATGATCATCTTTACAGCCATAGCCTACTATCAGCCCTTACGGGTAAAGGTGGGTCCACTCTTTTATCTGGAAAGGCCTGGATGGATGGAGCAGATTTTAAAAGGTTGTGTGTGGTTATCATCACTGCCTCTGCCTGTATTCACAAGTTTGGGTGGTTTTGTTTTTATCTTGCAGCCTTCATTTCCAGTGGAATTCACAGCTGGAGGCTTCCTGTGGGTCTCTGGACTGATCATTATCTTGTTAGGAGGCATTTATCTGATCTTCGCTCAGGTATGGGGGTCTCTGGTCTAGTTTCATTGTAAGAAAGCAAAAAAAAAAAAAATAGGAACTGTCACTGACATGGAGGCAGCAGATTCAGTTCTCCTCACATCAGGATGTGCAGGAGTGGATGGCAGGAGGGAATTCTGCTCTGGGACACGCAGTGTCAGTGGGATCTAGCAGTGACAGGGGTGGCACAAGCCAGGTTGCTGGGCAAGAGGAATCATGGTTTGACAACAGCAAATAATTCTGAGAGACTTCTATGATTTATGGTATTAAAATGCATCCCTGGCATTTAATGGAGTCTATTAATAAGGACATGGGGCTGAGCCATGATTCAGCCCTTGTTTATCCTTGCCCTTTATAAGTAAGGCCTTTTTTCGTCTTAGAAGTATGACTAACTGAAATTTGGGATCTTGGAGATGAAAGCATGAAGAGGAGCTCACGGAGCAAAGCTTTCCCCCGAGCCATAGGCTGTGTGTGATCACTCTCTAACCAGCTCTGGTTTTGATGAATGGCTCCCATTGATTTTTCTCTCCCAGAGTCTGTACTTGAGGAGGAGACGCCAGTCCCTGAAGACCATGTGCTCTGACAGCTGCATCGAGATCCTGATGTATGTCCCTGCAGGGGTTTTGCACAGTGAAAGTTTGGTGGAATTGGTTCTCTGCTGTGTGTCTCTAACATTGCTGGAGAGGTGGTGAGCAGGAAACATTGATCCTCTGCCACTGTCTCTTCCCATCCCTGCTCAATTCTACCTCTTGTCCTAACCCTTTGTTGTGATGGAGTTTCCTGGGCAGGGTCTGTCTGTGAAGGTCAGACCCTCAATTATTCCACAGTTAGAGAACATATATTTGTCAGAAAAAGAGCTCAAGTTTTCAATCACACTGTCACTCTGGCTCAGAATTAGTTGAAAGGAAAAGAACTTCCAAGTTTTCTGAGGAGGAATGTGCATCAATGTATGTGTGTGCCTGGATGTGGGCCTGTGCTCTAAGTGTTACTTTTTTTTCCCCATTTAATATCAGTTATGGGAGTTACATCAAGCAGTTCAGAGTTTCCACACTGGGAGATTAACCAGTTTATAACAAAACTGCAGCAATTTGTAGGTCTGGAACTAGATGATCCTTAAAGTCCCTTCCAACCCAAACCATTCTCTGATTCCATATAAACTCTGTCTGATTATCTGCCATTTGTATGCTCCTTGTAGCCTCCTAAAATTTGCTTTTCATTGAAAAACAGAACAGATCTGCAATGGGAAGAGATCAGATCTGTTGAGGTGAGTCACTGTGTCATTCTGCTTGTCTCCAGCTTCATCCAGGCGTTCTCATTGCTGCTGTCAGCAGTCCTGTATGGTGCCAGCTCAGAAAACTATGTGGCAGTGATGGTGTTCTCCCTGCTTTTGGGGTGGGTGAACACCCTCTATTACACCCGGGGCTTCCAGCGCACTGGGATCTACAGTGTCATGATACAGAAGGTCAGTGCCTGGGGGGAAAACCTCTGCATGAAAAGCTTTTGGGTGTGAGCAGCTAACAGGAGTCCTGTGATTGCTTTCCTCCTCTCAGCACCGTGAAAACCATAAATGGACTTGATGTCCTGACTGTGGAAGTACAGATATTGCAGGAGATTAGATCAGTGTCTTCAAGTACAACTGCAGGAAGCCACTGGTGTGCTCTCATTGAATAGGGCAGGTGACAGCAGCTGACACCTGTTTGTCACAAAACAACTCAAAACTAGCAGGGAAAACTGGTGTGAGTTCCCTGGAACTGTTAGACTTGGCCTGGGAAGTTTTCCTGGGTCTACAGGGGAGTCAGGGACTAGAAAGGCAAAGCAGAGGTGAAATGAGGTGCCAGGGAAGAATTCTGATCCCTGCTTGTGCAAACCCAATGGAGATGGGAGAGAGAGGGAACACACAAATTGTGTGTTCCAACAATTTGGAAACAGCCACACTGGGGAACTGACAGGATATTGGTTGGTTTCAAAGAACCTCTTCATACAAACATAACAATAAATAAGTCCATATAGTACTGTCAGATTAAGCTACCAATGATGTTACTTACCTGAGGAATTACTTTAACATCTATGAGTAGTTTCTTAAACTGGATAGAAGCACTTTCCAACTTGCTTTCAGTATTGTTCCTGGGGGTTGGTTATGATGTGTGAGAAGAGGGGATCATCCTGGTGATTTCATGCAAGATAAAGTACAGCGCTTCCTCCTGATTTGTGTTTCAGACCATCATGAGGGATCTGCTGCGTTTCCTCTTGGTTTACATGATCTTCCTCTTCGGCTTTGCTGCGGGTGAGCCCTCGCTCAGCGCTACGGTGTGGGCTGGGCTGCAAGAAGTGGGTTTTTCTGAGGAGAACCTGAATTCTGTTTTTCTCACAGCTCTGGTCACTCTGATGGGTGACGCTCCCTCAGTCTCCCAGAACAAGTCCCTGGCTCACCTGGAGAGCACTGGGAGCCATGCCATGTACGGGGGGCTGCTCAGCGTCTCCCTGGAGCTCTTCAAGATCACCATTGGGATGGGTGACCTGGATTTCCACGAACATGCCAGATTCAGATATTTTGTCATGCTCCTGCTGCTGCTCTTTGTGATCCTCACTTACATCCTTCTGCTCAACATGCTGATCGCCCTCATGAGCGAGACAGTCACAGACATTTCTGGTTACAGCAAGAGCGTCTGGAAGCTGCAGGTGAGGCCCAAAGTTCTGCTCGAGTCCCACAAAATCAGAGATGGCAGTGCCTGTCTTTTTGTCCTAAACCTTTACATAAGTCTTTTATATAAATTTGTCACTCTGGTGGCACGTCCTGACATCATTTTTAGATGTGTTTACAACTCTTGCTCTTTGCGTGATCCACGTGCACAAGGAACTCGAGAGAGTGACTGGCTGGTACCATGAAGTGAAGGAGCACTTTGGGATTGGGTTCCAAAGTGATTCTCTAAGTCAAAGTAGTTGCTGATTGGGGGAGATTCAATTGAAAAGAAGGGCTGGGCTCTGTAAATGCCCTGATTTCTCTCTGACATGGATTTCTTCTTCCAGAGGGCTATTGCTATTCTAGAAATAGAGAAGGCCTGGCTGTGGCGCCAGGGTGGGAAGAGGAGATCTGGCTGCTTCATGTCAGTGGGGCTCAATAAGAAAGATGAGAGGTGGTGTTTCAGGTAAGACAGATATATCCTTTACACTCCAGCCTAGCAGGCAGTGGGATCCCATGATTCACAGCCTGGTAACCCTGAACAGCCACAGAGAATTTCAGCACTGACTCAGCAGTGACTCAACCACATATTCCTGGGTACATGCAGATTGGTTGGTGATTGCCAGCCTGGAAGTTTGAGAGCTAAAATGAGCTGCCAGCACTGTCACCTTTGTATTAAGAATCTGAACTGGAGGAACTGGAGTATTTTAAAACAAACAGCCTACAACACGCAGTGAGAGAAGCTGTTTTACTTCATGGAGCTTAGGCTACAGAAGATCTACTCAAAGAAGAGCTCTGTAAGGTGCTGCTGCTGCAGCCAAACCATCAGGATTGTATTGGCAGGATGAGCTGGGTTGGGATGCTGGGTTGGAACTGTGAGATCTGGGTTGAAATGCTGTGCTCCATGCATCAGTGTCTGTTGCATTTTGTCTCTCCAGAGTAGAGGAAATTAAATGGACAGATTGGGCAAAGGATGTGGGAGTTCTGAAGGAAGACCCTGGAAACACCAGTGATTCAGAAATAAATCCAGAAGGTAAATTAAACCATGAAGAAAGGTCTTCAGTATCCTTTTAGCTTCCTGCTCAGCAACTACTCTTGGCAAGTTATTATGTCTTTGTTAATGGAGATTTTAGACTGGCCAACTGGCTTATGAAATTGCTTTCTCACAGTACCACTTGTGAGCTGAGAAAATAAAGATTTAGTGTAGGTATGGATCTGTTCAGGGTTTGGGAACAAACAGTGAGAATAAAGGAGATGCCATTCCTACTTACCTCTGGTAGGAATGGGCAGGGAACACTGCTTTTTTTACAGAAGTGGTAAAATTTAGGCCCACTCATACTGCAAGTGTTAAAATCACAGGGCTTTTAGAACATGAGTCTGGGCATTAACACTGACAACTTGGTCAAATTCTGCCTGAGATCATTCTGGGAATGAAACTCTGTGTTGAACCAAGAGCTGTTACTTTCTCTGGAAATTTTTTGTTCAGCCTGGCAGAGCTTGGATTTGAACACAACCTCCTGCCCTTGCAGTGCGGGTTCTTCCTAGATGCCAGTTTTCTAGGACTGGGGAGGTTGCAGTACTTAAAACATTATGTGGTGTGTGCTGGGTGTTCCCTAAACCTGCACCCTTCTAAACTGAGTCCCTTTGTCAGCTTCCTGCTGATGAAGGGCCATTCCTGTGTCTCCTGCTGCAGAGACAAGATCGTGGAAACGGGAACCACAGAAACCTCCGAGATCAGCTGCCTCCGAGGAGCAGTCACTCCTGCAGCCCCAGCCATCAGCAACAGAGATGATGCCTTTGCAGGGACAAACCAGAGATCTTTAACAGGTTTTCTGAGTTGCAACCTTGCTCCCATCTCCAAAGGAGTAGTTCTTCCTATAGCAGCTGGAAGAATTGAAGGCATTATCGGTATTAAAGTGCATTTTGTGGAGGACTGTGGTTCAACCTGTAGCTTTAAATACTTTTATGCACTTTAATCATTAATTTCCTTTGAAGAAACTATTTTTACTCAACTTTCTCTGCCTGACACTTTCTTACTGCTATGTCTAAAGATACAAGAGCAAGAGCAAGCTCCTGGGGCAGTGGGGAGTGGTCTCTGGGAAGGCAGTGCTCCCTGAGCTGTACAGGAATGATGCTGATGCAGTGACCTAGAAAAGAGTGGGTCGACTTATTCTTTTGTCACAAGAGACTGAACTGAAGTGCTTTGGAATAAAAAATGTCGTAGAGTCATAAAAAGTTGCTCAGGGTGGAGTTGGCTTCTGTGCAAAGTGCTGCTGGTGTGAGGCACGAGCGGACAAGTACTCGGTGTGCAGTCAGCAAGAGCTGCTCTGAGTGTCTGTGGCAGCACCTGCAGTGCTCCGTGGTCAGTCCACATCAGAATCCCCATTTTACAGTATTGGAATGAAATCCTTTGCACAATGTGCACGTTTGCTTAAAAGCACAAAAGCTGATGTGGATTTCCCAGACTTTATGTTCACACGGTGAATTTTGGAGACATCTGTCTCTCACAGGTTGCTCTGTCTCTGTAATAAGCAGCAGCAGAATCCTGCTCGTGGCTCTGAGAGACTGATGGGCCAAAACTTACTGTGTGGTTGACACTTCCTGTCAGTCTTGGCATCCTGTCTTGCTGCAAATGTTTGCAAGGACCTCATTGCTTTCTGTGACGTGCACCCTGCCCCAGGCAGGAGGGGCAGCCTAAACTCTGTGGAAAAGAGATAAAAATGAGCTGTCTCACTTTTCACTATATTTAAATATAATAACGTGATATTTCTGTAAACTGTCAATATAGCAAGTTTGCTTCATTGAAAATATTCATCCTTGGATATATTTTTAGTGTTTCAGTCTCTCTCAAAAAGCAGGAGAAGGTTTGATCAGTGTGGACTCTAAGGCCTTATCTAATTCCTGATGACATTTCCTCCAGTGCTGTGCTGCCCTCACTGCTGTGCCAGTTAACTTGTTTTTCACAACCTCCTGTCAGTTTGTGCAGCCACATCTGAGCATTGAGCAGCTGATGCTGCACTGGATGAACCTTCCATGCAGGGAATAGTGATACCCCCAGGACAGCTGCAGACTCTGGGTGTTGGCCTTCCCTTCAGTGAGATAAACTATGCAGCTCGAGATCTCTGCCTCATTTCTACTCTGAAGGAGGCTTGGAGGCTTGTCTTTTGGAGACAACCATCCTAATCCTCACTGCCTGCACGTGACTGGCAGCAGAAGCATTGCTTTAAAACTTCCTCCTGCATTTAAATGGGCTCTTCCCCTGTGCTGGGCAATTCCCCTGCAGCTTCACCCCATTGGGGCTCTGAGTGCTAACTGACTTTTCTCTCTCCAGCTCCTGTTGTTTTCTTGCTTTGTGAAGCCTTCAGCTGCTTTTCCCATCTATGGCTTTGTCCTAAGTGTTCCCAAGATTTGGCAAGGTGCTCACACTGCACAAAAGGATCATCTGGCATATGATAAATCTACTGCTGTGCTTGGTGCTTTGCTGTGGTAGGGAGACTTTGAGAATCTCAGAGAACACAGAATCAGATTTGCCATCCCTGTCTGGAGTCCTGATAAATAACAAAAGAGAAATCTTGCTTCCTGGTAGTTTTGGAAAGCTGTGGGCTGTGACAGCTTGCTTCCAACATAACCTGCCTCTTCAGCCATTCCCTCAACCTCCTTCTCTTTACATCCCTTCCTTAAGCTTGCAGTGCACCTTTGTCTTCTGATCTGCATCAAGAATGTTCTGCTGTGAAACAGGGCTTGGCATTCCCTGTGCTCCCCAATCCCACCACAGCCCACCAGTCCCAGGCCTCCTGAGCTCATGGATGAAGGATGGTGAGCAGGGAGAGGCCTGTGCAGCAAACAGACATGTCCAGTTGGTGGGAGGCTGCTGTCCAGCTCTTTGATGTGCTGTGGAAAAAAGGGGATTTTTGAGGAGTTGCCACCTCTCTGCAGTGAGGATGAGTCAGCACTGGGGAGATGATCATCAGTAGCCTCCCAGTGCACGAGGCTCCCCTTTGGTTTCACCAGCTGAACCACTTCCCGGTCTGGTCCCGTTACAGACAGGAAGGCTGGCTGGGATTGGTTTCGTGGGATGTCTGCAGTTCCTGGCAAGAGGAAGGCCTTACAAGCTGGGTCATAGCTTTGAAGGCCCAGCAGGATTTTGGGATCCACACTTAATAGATCATAATATTTTGTCAGGAAACACTTTGGTCATTTACACAAGAAATCATGAACAGATGAACTGTCCTCTCCCTTCTACCTCTTGTGACGGGAGAATCCACCTGCATGTGAACCCCTTCCTGGGCAGATGGGGAGGGTTTGCAGGGCTCTGGCAAAGCAGGAACCTTTCACAGTTACCAGTGAAGGAACAGCTGCAGTTTCTCTCCTCTGTCTGCTCTGTGCGTGTGAGCCACAGAGACTCTGCAGGCCCAGCCTTGCCATGAAGGAAAGGCACCAGCAGGGTTAGGGATTCTCCAACCCTCTCCTGTGTGCTTTGGTCAGATTTGCTTGGCTCCTGGCAGGGTGGGATAGGAATGTGGACCTTTGGCTTCCAAACTTCACATGGGCACTCTTTGCCTGCCCACTGCTCCCTGTGCCTTCTCCAGAGGCTCCAAGTGCTTCCCACCTCACAGTGATCGACCTCACAGCTTATCTGTGCAATTTTCTTCAAAGAAACTTCATGTCTGGTTTGTGTGGCTCCTAATCCCCCACGGGGCCATTTTCCTCAGGGGCAGAGGTGAAGTCAAGACTCTCCCGTTCCTCGGATGTTTTGCACATTTTATTTTGCTGTTGGATTTCCCCCCCCCCTGTTTTTCCAAAGCCTGCTCTGAAGCTGGAGCCAGCAAGGGGAGGTGTATCTGTGCCTCAGTTGATTCCCTCTCTCTTCATCTCTTCATGACCCCACTTGCAACTGAACATACTTTCCATTGCCTCTGGAGCTCGCAAAGGGAGCCTTGGAAATGTGACAGCCAAGGGCCCCGACAAAGAACAGATGCTTTCTGTAAGTCCCACAAGCTGCACAGGGTCTGAAGGGCTGCAGCTGGTGCATTTTGCAACTGGATTCTTCCTGGGGCTGCCTCTCACTTTTGGGCTTTAAAAAATTTCATTATTTGTTGCTCTGGGACTAAAACAAAAATAAAGTTGGGGGGAAAGACATTTTAAAAGAAAACTTCTGCTTTGCAACCTCACATCTGCTTCAGCAGCACAAAAAAAAAGTGGGGCCTGGCAGGAGCAGGCAAAGGCTCAGAAAGATGTGGCTGTGGCTGGCACAGAACTGTTACTAAATCTGAGTGCAAAGGGTGGTTTTTTTGCTTCCTCTTCTAACATAATCTTATTTTTTCAGTTCAGATTTGTGAGATGTGGAGTGTTACAGCATTTCTGGACTGTGAGGATGGTTGTTAAATGCTAACACAGGGAGTCCTTAGAGGATGAGAGTTGGAGGTAGCTGAAAAGTGTCCATGTGATTTGTTGCACTCTTTTCTGAGAATTCTTGGAAAATTTAGACTGTCTGGGTAAAGAGAGCCACGTCTCTATTCCACTGGGAGGAAGATCCATCTCCAGTTGACAGCTTTGGTTTTGCTGGTGCTCACATCCCCAACACACAAGTCAGGGACTCAGTCATGTTGCAAATAAAATAATTTTGCTCTTTTGGAGTCCTCTGGCATAAAACCTTGGTCCATCCAGGACAGGAATGATCCCTGTCCTTTGTCAGGAGAGGGAAGCAGTGGCTGCTGAGGGGCCTGGTGACCATTCAGCAGCTTTGGCTGCAAGGACAACACTGATCCAGTTCTGCTAAAAACCTCCTGCAGTGAGCTGGGGGCTGCAGCTGCTGCTCTGGTGCTGGGCAGGCACCTGGTGTGTCTCCAGGGTCCTGCAGGAGCTGGTGGAACCACTCCAGAGTCCAGGAGAGGCTGCAGGAGTTGTAAGCCAGGTAACACTGCCCTGTGCCAACCTGCTCTGCAGTGCCAGAGGCAACTGCCCTCCGTTCCTCCCTTCCAGCCTGCAGTGTGTTGCCTCTGCAGCAGGTACCTGAAGGAATCATGAAACTTGGAAAAAGACTGGGAAAAAATTTCCCTGACTGGGGTGTGGTGTATTTATGTTCTGTTCTCATGGTTCATGGGGAGGGAGGTCGTCAGCTTTGTTGTTCTTTTTCCACTGTCAAACTGTTGAATAACGATTTCGTTGCTGCTAAACTGGTTACAGGATCTGTCCCTGAGGATGGCTGTAATAAAATAAATAATAGGAAATGATCCACATATAAGTAGATATGTGGTGTTTTGTTCTAAAAATTGCCTTACTCTGCTGCAAAGGACACCCATCCTACAGAGCTATATATAGAGAATTCCAGGGAAAAGGCTGCTTGTCTTTTTCTGGAGCACAGGTTGGATCTTATTTAGGGTCTGAGCTCTGCCCACTTGATGTGAGCCATGATGGGGTGACAGATCCTCTCCTTGCTGGAGCTCCGTTTGATCGGGGGGAAGAAGGGAGGGTTTACGTCCATCGCCTGGAGACAGAGGTGAAAACACTGGTAGCGTAAACACTCCATGTTGGGGATTTTCCAGCCGTGCCTAAGCAGTGACAAATAAAACATTCCTGCTTTGTGCTCCCGCTGGACGTGCTCTCCCTGTATGGTAGAGGACTGCGGGCTGCAGCCAGCGCTCCTGCCTGAGGCACGGGGGAATGAAAGAGAAATAAAAAAATAAAACTATTCGGTACAAGAAATAAAACCATTCAGGACTTCAGGTGTACTCCTATCCCAGGGTGGTAAAATCCTGGTTTTTGCCTGGACACAGACAAGTTTTTAGTGCAGCCCTGGCCCTGCCAAGTGTTCTGTGCAACACACGTGTTGTTGGGGAACTGCTGAAACTTTGCTTCCCAGGACATGGAGAAAACAAGTGTTGTGTGGCCCTGGCTGCAGGATCTGTTACACAACACCCAGGATAGAAGTTAATTGTGTCATTTTGAATGAGAAGTGAACTTTAGCAGCAGACCAGGAGGGAACCCTCCTTGGTGCACTGCTGGAATTTGCTCAGGGCACGCACAGGATGGTTGGAAAAAACCCAGCCTGGGCATGTCAGGATTCTAATAACGTGCACCCTCTCGTGGTTTATTCCTGTCACAGGGTGAGCACACGGGATGGTTTCTGTGTGGAACAGGCTGGGGATCCCCTCAGCTGCTGTTGATTTAAGAAAAGACTGTGCACTAAGATTTGTTCTGTATTTTATGGGGGTTTTTTTCAATGTAAGAGTTATGCTACATTTGCTGTAAAAGGATTTCTGTCTTCAGTGTTTTTCAGACTCATTCTTTCACCTTGAAAGGCCACTTCAGTGTGCAGGTGACCTGTCCCTTGGCAAGGTTTGGGTTGCCACCAGTGGGGATGGATATGAGGATACTGCAGCTGGAGCTCCCCTTGAAGATCAGCTTTCAAACCGTTCCTCTTTTGGCAGCACTTCCACCTTTAATAAAGATGATAAAGACAAGATCAAGGGCTCTGTTGCCCAGGTAGGTGCGTTGTTGGGAACTGGCTGCAGTGCACCCTGAGAGAGAGGAGCTGCTGTTTTTGTAGCAAGAGGTGGAGGGAGGACGTGCACATTTCATTGGGGTGACACATTTGCAGATGGTTTGTGTCACTCCTCCTTAACTCCTAATTATTCACCTGTTTGGTGAGGCAAAGGAGCTTCAGGTGCTGCTCCAGAACATCCTTTTCCATTACAGGCTGTTAAGTGTCAGTGTTTTGCATCTCAGGGGTGTTACAAAATCATCCCCACAGCAGCCTCGTGAAGAGAAGTGTATTTTCCCCAGGACAGGGGAGAGATCCTGACTTCTATTTGTTGATGTTTCCCCCCTGTTTTAGAGAGTAAAAACCTCTGGAATTTCTTCAGGACTCCAGTATTTTGGACAATCCATTGCTGGTGGCTTTGATTTCCCCAATGATGGTCTCCAAGACAGGGCAGCAGGATCTCTGGAGAACGTGACTCTGCTCTGGTAGGTAATAAATGTTATTTTTTGGTGTGCTGGGGAAATGCTTCAAAGACAAATATAGAATCTGTGTTCCAAGCAGTGTGACATTATTCTATTTTTAATTCAGCATCAGAGGGACATAAAAAAATCTTTCCCAGTGCTAGAAATTATATAAAATATAAACCCTTTAGTTCAAGCTGCAAAGGCTTTTGCCTTTGTATGTCTAGAGCTTCGAGCAAGTATGAGATAGTGAACATAAAGGAATTAACACAGATCCAGGTCTGCCTGCAATTCAGCACTGATAATTTGGGTCATTTAGACACAAAATAATTTATTTACATACTGTCCCTCATTTTCAATCACACACCTGGTCAGGCAGCTGAGTGACCTGTGCAGTTCACAAAGGCTGAGACAGGGCAGATGCATTTGATTTTTCTTCTTGCATTTTGTATTTGAAAAACAAAATTCTAGATAAAGAGAGAACTGGAACTGATGGATAATGTGTTTATCTAATGGAAACATAAACAGGGTGTTTAATTCTGAAGCTCTGCCCTCACTGGTGTATTTTGGCTGTCTGTGCCTCCAGGCTCTTGGGATTTTGTGTGTTCTGAACGTTCCCAGCAGAAACTGGGATTGCTGTAAATAGGCCAGCCTGGTCCAGGTGACAAACCATGGAAACACTGAGCAATTCTTGTTCTTGCTGCCAGGCTTCCTTAAAACATTTTAATGTTTGAGTTCCAAAATTTATAGTTGATTCTGTTCCTTATCAGTAATTCACTGACTAGCTTGAGACCAGCTGTCCAGTCTCACCAGCAGGAGATTCAACCCCGAGAGAGTCCTGATTTTCCAAAATAACAGCCTTGTTACAGCAAAACTATGTTTTGGTACAATCTCAGCTTTACTTCAGTGTCTCAACAAGGTAAAAACTGGGAATTGTGACCAGGTTGGAATGTGCTGTCTCTGCAGGGAGAGGCTGATTTTCACAATGTGTAGCTGAATCACTGACCACATTACCCAGGGAAAGGCATGGGAGGCAAATGTATAAAATGATCCAAACAAACATTTGAGGAGCTCGTGGTCCACTGATGGCTGTTAAACACAGTGGCCCAAAGAAAACATCCGAGCCAGAAGGTCCCTAAATATGCCAGGAGATGGAAACTGGAGCAGAGATGACGTGTCAGGACTTGTGCATTTTAATGCCTGGATATTTTCTTAACTTTTTGATCTTCCTTTCTTGTAGCCATGTGAGGTCCACTGTTTTTCCAGGGTTTTTCTGAGAATTAAACATGAGAAAAATGATAACATGGAGTTTCCTGTTCCTGTGCTGGACAGACACCACCCATCAGAAAATGCATTTTCAGGTAATAAAACACAAGCAAAGAGCTTTTTCTCTTTCCAGGATGCAGTTTTTACTATTAAAAATAAAAAAAAAAATGTGGTTTTGTTAGCCTTTGCATGTCATCTGCCCTCTGCTGCCTTCCTGCTTAGCAGTACTGTATTCTGGGTACATTTAGGCCCAGGTTTTCCCCAAACAGATAGTCCTGTCTTGCTTGGAGAATCTCATCTCTAAGGTTCAACCTCAAATCTGCTAAAAATTGCTCTATTTTTGACCACATTTCTCCTGTGCCCCTGTACAACATGAGATCAGGTGTTACCTGTGAAGAAGGTACAAGATTTGTGTGTTTTGTGCAGTACTTTTCAGATATTGAGCTCTCCACGGGAACTTGGATTAAGATTTATTATTTGAATGGTGTATTTGGTAGTAACAACTCTATAAATTTTATAATGAAGTAATTTAAAAAATAATTAAATTTTTAAATAAATTTTTAGTGTGTTTGTTCCAAAGCAACATTTGGGACATTACAAACTTGTCATAAACTTCAAGGTTCAGTCTGACATCCTGCCTCCTCTGTTGCAGTGTAGTACAGGGTTCCTGCAAGCTAATCCAGCTCTTTTTCAGTCTGAAATCCCAATCACAGCTTCTGAGAAAACTCCATAAAGCTCTGTAAAGAGGCAGCTTTTGGCTGCTTTAGTAGCAAATAGGAGTCTTTCCCACAATTCAATATTTAATTAGGTGTCCATAAAGCTTAGGACAGAGGAGTGAGGACAACGTTTAGCCCTGAGCAGTAATGAACACTAATGACCATTGTCAGTGCTCTCAGGCATTATGATGTTGAGGGTACATTTATTTCCTAACAATAATTCATGAGATTCTTTAGTGTTGGCCAGCACTGCTTAGTACTTACACACATATCTAATTATTAATTATCACTGAACTTTTCCAGAAACATCAGCCACAGACAGTAGATATTTTATTGATGAATAAAACTATTGCTAAAGGAAAATATAGTGTGTCTCTAATCTGGCACAGCATATTTATTCAAGAAAAAAAATATCATCTCTGGAAAAGAAATTAATATCATTGCCCTGTAGCAATCCAGGGGTAAACAACTGGCATTTCTTTGACAAGACCTTGTCCCCAGTGAAGACTTCTCATGCTGTTGGTAATAAACCTTATCCTGGGAGCTGAACTACAAAACATCATCAATTTAGGACTGACTTATCACTAGAGGGTCTTTTAGTTCCAGCTTCTCCTCAGCTGAGGTCATGGGAACTTTGGGTTTCAGAGGATGTGTGTGTATATGTAAAGATATTCTGAATCTGCTCCCTTAGAAAAATTAGGACTGTTTGGTGTGACCTGATCTGTGTTTGCTTTCAGTTCCCTGGCATGGACTGCAGCAACAGGACCATCTGTGCTGCTTGTTTGACTTTGACAAGGCAGATTTGGTGAGTCATGGTAGTTTTGTTATCCAGATTTTGCATTTAGAGTCCATATAAAATGTCATCTTTGTGCAAAAGACGTTTTCTTCGAATTCTCAGCGTTGTCCTCTTGCTGGCATGACTTTCCATTCAGTTCATCCTTTCCATAATACCACATTCACACAGTGCTCTCTGTGCCTCCGTGGGCATGGCTGGGTGTTCTCATGGCTGGGAATCTCAGAGCACAGACCAAGCTTTGAACAACTGTGATCACCCTAAAAATCCCAGCACTGGCATTTAATTATGAACATATGATTTTGGTTCAGGCTGATGCACAGCACTACAGCAAAGAGCTGCTCAGTTCCCCTGGCCTTACATAAACCAGAAGGCATCACTTCATTGTAAAAATATACCCTGGAGATTGACTGAATAGCTGATCAAGTGGAACAGAGCTTAAAGTCGGCCTTGTTGTAAAACAGGAGGGATAAAATGTTACATAAAGCATGGAAGTGTCTGCCTTTGATATTAAGAGGCA